GCTTGCACCTAATAGACAGAATCTCACCAGACTAACCCTAATCGCCCAACTATAACCATTGTGCCCTTAGGGAGGGGCCAATCTCTTTCTCTTGACTTTCACACAGTCCATCTGGGGGCTGAGGAGATGCTTTCCTTGGAATGTCTCTCCCCCCTCCCTGTAACCTTGAAGCTCCATGCCAGAATCCTCCCCGCTCATGCCTTCCATCACATCAGGCCTGGCAATATAGGAGCCAGAGGTCCCTACAAAGTTCCTGAAGAACACATAGAGTATATAACTGCAGTGCAACCCTTCCCAATCACCATTAGGTTATTTTTTGGCTAGTTACACTCTCTCAGCTTGACCTACCTCATCAGCTTTTTGTCATGGGGATAAAATGGAGCAGAGAGTTTCCCCTACACCAGTTTGAATTGCCAAGGAATAGATTGTAATATAATAGTAATACTTGTTATAATGGTCTTCAGCCCAGTACACACATATTAATATATCATGCTATTCATAAATATTCAAGTTTGGTTTACTTTAGAATTAAAACTACCATATCTGGGCTGCAACAGTCTGGGTGGTCACTAGATGGCAGAAGAGAGACACAAAACTCTTAACTTTCTGCTGACCCCTAGTGCTCATCTGAATTTCTGCAGCTCCTTATGGTGGCCCTATTAGGATGTTGTGTGAAACCAACCACAGTGTTTTTTATATTATAGTTTATGGCTTAGCTCAAAGCATAAACCCAGTCAATTGCTGTCACTCAAAAATACGGTTAAGCATATCATGGCTTGTTTAGAGTCCATTAATAATTTTTCATTGTTTTTCATTTTTGCTTTTCTTTTTCTAATCTAATTAAAGAAAGGTCATTTTTTAAAACAAAACTCATGGCTTGCTGAAAGTGATGTGTTTACCTGGTCATTAATGAAGATTCAGTGACAAACCTTGTGCTAAAATACACTTAAAACTAAGATTGAATGTAATTAGAGGAGCAAGAACCATTCATTATTCTGTCATAGCTAAGCCTCTCAGTAGTTTAGGGACACCTGCTGCTTAGCATTGCACCCCAAAATTGTAAGACAAGACCTGTTAATATTGTTTCATTTTATTTTAAAAAAACACTATCATTCCAAAGTTTCCTACATGGCTTACAAATCATGACATCTCAATCATACGTTTCTTTCTATTTTGTTAAATCCTTCCCTGACCTTGTCCCCGATAAAATCCAAATGATCAGCTGGAGATGGGACCATATCCTTTGAGACAGCTTTCATTCATCAGTTACCATACTATATCAAACAAGGTTCTTTCTTATCTAATTGGCCATAAGAAATATGTGGTCTTGACTATCAAGATTGTTTAGGATCTCTGTCAATTCCAGCTTGACATTATATTTTGCCATGAAATATTTTTTAGAATTGGGTTGGTTGGTTTTGGTAGAGCTTCTCAGTGTCATCATATATAAAATGTAGCAATTAATCACTTTAAAGGCTGAATTGTTCCCCTTTCCTTTTTTTCCCTTGAGAAACTCATGCTGCTGTCTGGCATTTTGGCAAAGGAACAAAAATGTTCAGTCTTTAGTGCTTTCGCTGTATTGTTTCCACAGTCCCTAATTCTTAGTTATACTGTGACCCATGATAGGTTGACTCCAGGAGGAGTCAGAGGTCTTGGGGCTATTTTCTGTTTTCTTTCCTGCCAGCTAGGGCCCACCTGTGGCGCCTGCTGAAGCATGGAGTCTGGTGTAGAACTGGGCTTCAGCCAGATCATTCTTTGTTTATCTAAAAGTAAGTTTCTTGCAGACAAAGCTTCAGTCCTTGTGGATTTTCTTTGGTTTAGCTGTCTGCCTGGATGGGTAGAGATGTCCAACAGAACAAGAAACAAGCAGCTATTCAATAGACTCTATCTCTCATTTAGGCTCCCAGCTCCACCTCTTCAAATATATCTTCAGGAACAGCCTGGTTCAGAGACACAGCCATCAAGGCTTCAGGTGTACTCCAGCTTACTAACAGCCATCAGCTTCATACCTACTTCAGTAAGGCTGCAGCCATTTGTCATCCTAGCACCAATTCCCTGCCAAAGAGCATCCAGAACCATCCAAGTCATCATTATTTCCTTGCTGCAAACTAATACCTCTGAAATAGAAAATATTAACGTTGATGATACTGCATCATCTCAGAAATCAGACCTCCAAGTGAAATTATCCAGTCTGCTAAGACTGTATGGGCTGAAGTCATAAATCCAACTTAAATAACCAGAGCAAGGCGCTAGACCTAAAAGGACAATCATATTAACAGAAAAGGCCTGGGTGAAAAAGAAACTGACAAAGATGTATTTCATCAGAAATCAGATTGTGTGTGGGATAAGAATTAACATGACATGTTTAACATTGCAAGTTGCAGAAATGTTAATAATCTGCGGCAGGAAGCTACAAATCAGTTAAGGTCTAACTATAAATACTACTAAATCTTAACTGAGCACTATTACAGCTTCAAAGAGTTATGGCATCCCAAAAGTGATTGAAGATGCACTTTTCAAGAAGAAATCTCCAGATAATCACAAACTGAGGGAACTTGATGATCCATTGTGGGAACTTGAATCTGCCAAGCTAGATCCCCATCTATCACCTTGTGGATACTTAGACACTGCTCACAGACTGAACTCACAGCGCTCCTAATACAAAAGAAAAAAATGTGATCTTTCTTCCTTCCTCATTCTCATGAAACTTTGTTGGCCAAGATGAGAAATGATTCAAATTTTGCATTCAGCACTTCAAGGATGATCATTAGGGAGATCCCTAAGAGTGAAAGATATC